TGTTTTTAATCTTATATACTATGATTCAAAATAAGTTTATATATGCTCAAATGTCAAATGTCAAAATAACTGAAAGTTGTTGGCAAAGTTGTATATATGATGAGTTTATTATATATAATGTGTCATTAAGAACTATTTTGATTTTCTGTTATTTTTTTTGTATATTTGTATACCTCCTGATTTATATTCAGGGGCATCATAACTTTACATCATGCATAGCAAAACTTTTGGTCATATGTCTTTGTTACTTATAATAGAAATACTGTCCAAATCTGGTCATTCACAGTTAAAAGTATTGGGAAAACATGATTGTCTACAATGTTCAGCTGGTTGCAAAAAGAGGGGCGAAAGATACCAAAGGGAAATTCAAACACATAACTCGAAAAATAAACTGACAACGCCATGACTAAAAAGAAAAACACAAATAGACAAACAATAGTACACACAACACTACATAGAAAACTAAAGACTGAGCAACACAAACCCCACCAAAAACTGGGGATGATCTCTGGTGCTCCGGAAGGGAAAGCAGATCCTGCTCCACATGTGGCACCCGTCGTGTTGCTCATGTTAGTAAAAACCCGGTATTAAGTCTAATTCGGTAGGTCACATTCGGGAAAACCGGACGGAATTGTAGTTACGACATAAGGAACATATCCGCTATCATCTGTGAAACAGATATTTCGTCTCAGTCAACCAACTCGTGATGGCGTCCGTAAAAATTAACGAAGGGATGATTTCAACTTCACCACTTGGAACTCTTGGTTTAATAGCTTCCTTGTGAGCAGCAACCCTCTATCAAGGAAATCATGATAGGAAATACAAGCCCTGGATTATCGTATCAACTGGGAGATATATACTCTGTATGCAGGCGCTGCTGGAATGTTGCTACATAAAAATGGAAAGTTCAGAATTGGGAAGCTGAAATCATCTCTTTTTTCATAATGTTTTGTTTTCAACCGACCCTCATTGTCAATTTCTAGATGTAAGTCAAGATATGTATCTGTTGTATCCTTTATCTCAAGTTCGATGGGATAGATGCGTTCAACATAGTCACCAAATTTTGAATTATTTAGTGAGAGAACATCATCTATGTAGCGGAAAAAAAAGTTAAAGGGTACTGCTAACTTCTTTTCTTTCTTCCTAAGAAGTTCCTGTGTGAAATCAGCCTCATATGAAGAAAGGAACAAGTCGGCAAGAAGAGGGGCGCAGTTGGTTTCCATGGGAATCAGACTGTTTGTTGAAAAACACGTCCTCCAAACGTAACAAATATGTTGTCAATCAAGAAATCAAGCATCTTGATAATGTCAGTTTTAGAGAAATTTTTGTTAGAATCAGAGTGGTTTTTTACAAAGTAGGATTTATCCCTCCCTAAGACCAGATACTTGTATCTACGTTGGCCATTCTTTTTTATGAAACAAAGCAGGACCAACTCTTTCAATTTGTCTTTTAGTTTCGAATGGGGAATACTTGTGTAAAGTGTAGAAAAGTCAAGTGTTTTAATACTATTGAAAGATGAAAGAGTCTTAGATTGTATGTACTCTAAAACATCTTTGGAATTTTTTAGTATCCACATCTGATTCACGCCACCTTGTGAATATGTAGTTTCACAAGAACTTTGAATCCCGGCTTTGATTGCTGATATAATTGATGTTAATAATTTAGAAAGAGGTTTCGTGGATCACTTGGATGACCCAGCAATATACTGCTGTTTGTAAGGACACTTATGTAGTTTAGGTATCCAATACAGTGATGAAAGATCCAGTTCTTCATCTCTGGTTGAAATTCTAAAGGAACATAGAACAGATCTATGATTATTCAGGATTTCCTCTTTAGTAAGTGTCGTGGGGTTATATGTTGAGTTTCCAAGTGAATTGTCAATACCTAATTCATTTATCAAGCAGTTTATGTAATGTGATTTACACACAAAAACGATGTTGTTTGGGGCTTTATCTGCGGGAACAACAACATATTTGTCATGGAGGTAGGACAAGTGTTTAGCAACATTTGGGTCTTTAAATATTGATGTAGCATGGGTATTAATAGACCCATTCAGTTTCTTAATTCTGATTTGTATTAACGACCTCACAGCCTTAATTCATTCGGAAAGAGTATCTACGTCTTCTTTCTTGCGTTTAACCCCGCATTGCCTGGCATAATCCTTGACTGAATCCATCAGTATTTTGACGTTGTGTTTCCAATTGATGGATTTAGGCTCACAATATTTCGGGCCTTTGAATAACACATTTCGCAGAGAAGTGTTATTGCCAATGTTTAGGTCACCAGTAATAACGTGGCCAGCCGGATTATATATGAATGGGGAACTAGCACAGGTTCAATCAGGAGGTTTAGACTTGAAGTCGTCCGCAATATTGAGATCCTGCAACATGTGTTTGTAATTGAAAATTTAAGTGGCAATTGGTTTAGTATAGGTATAAGAAATGATAGGTACAGACTGATCTTTAAAACGAATAATATAATTTTGGATGTAACACGTCTTCTGATTGGCTGAAAGTATTTTGTCTATCAGCTCATAGACATAATTTTGTCATGTGACCGTGACGTCATCAACGTTTTTTTCATGATTTACTCCTTAAAAATGAAATTTAGAATTAAATTATAAGGAATGACTGAAATATTTTTTCTGTCTATTCGAAATAACCTCAAAAATGTGGTCACCCTTTTAAATAACATGCTAAGCGGGTTATTTAGTGTACCACATTTTTGATGTTATTTCTTCATAGACAGAAAAAATATAACAGTCATTCCTTAAGTGAACTAATTTGTGATGAAGGATATTGCTCAAGTTGATGGCATCGAGACTTTTGTTGACAAAGGAAAGTTTAAGAAAGGATCTTTTCTCTTTTTCATCTTTTGCACTTTTCTTTTAGTAATGGACTCTGTCTGCTATTACCTGGGACCAATAGAAATCAAGTTATATAAACCCTCGAATAATATTTTATTAATTCATTCATCTTGTGTAGATTGGAAGCTACAAATAAATAAAAATCTCTGGTACACTAAAAAAATCCAGTATCGTCAGATCATATGTTTTCGTACGTCATATGAATTCGTACTATGCATGCTTTTTCGTCACAATGCATTCTAAATAGCACGAAAACCCATAATACGAGGATAATTGTTGTTTACAAATAGAAGTGTCAATTAAGTCCTCAATCAGAGACATATAAATAAATTTAGTATATATGTCTCTGCCTCAATGTATTAGTCCCAGGTATCAATCGACATACAGAAATTACTTTAAGTATATATATATATATAGTATATCAATACTACCTATTTTTATATGAAATCAAATTGAAAATTCGAGTTGAATTAAAAAAAGTATGTGAGTTGTCAAAAAGCGTAGACAATTAATGTTAGTTGTACGTTGCATAACATAAAATGTTTGTTTTTCAGATGGTATTTAGTTACTTCTGTTCTCAATACAAAATACTCGTTGCTTTCCCCTACCACAAATGAATGCTAATGATGTTGCTACGAAAAACACTAATAACAATATTTTTATTACTGTACAGCGTCCCGTTGTGTAAGCATACTTAAAATACTCTATTACATTTTTGTTTGCTAATCGCACAAATTGCACTACGTTTCCTGCGACTGTTGAATTCCAGAGAGAAAATAGTCAAAATAATAATAAATTATTTTTGTTTTGCTGACCTCCTGTGATTTCAATGACATAGATAACCTGATGTTACTTATATAATCTATACAAATCTAAATCAAAAAGTACCCTCTGCAGACAGATGATTATCAGGACTAGTAATATGAGGCAGGCATTACCTGTGAAAGGGGACGAAGTCTATATAAATTATTTTTTTTAATTCAAACATATTTAAACTTCAAAATCTGTTCAAAAAAGAAACGGAAATACCCTTACGTTTCCGATTTCGGTTCAGTTGTTCGGAATTTTAGTTGTGACGTTATTTATGTTATGACGTCATATTCAATGTATACAAAGAAACGCCATCAGGTAACGTTTTTTTCATATCAAGCCATTCAAGGAATTATTAAAAATGGAATTGGTATTGCGTTCCTTCCTATATTTTACTAGACTGATAAATATACTCAAAGACTCATGCAAACGAGACCGGAAAAAGGAAGTAGATTTCTGCTCAAATGCGGGTCACCCTTTTAAATAACATGCTAAGCGGGTTATTTAGTGTACCACATTTTTGATGTTATTTCTTCATAGACAGAAAAAATATAACAGTCATTCCTTAAGTGAACTAATTTATGATGAAGGATATTGCTCAAGTTGATGGCATCGAGACTTTTGTTGACAAAGGAAAGTTTAAGAAAGGATCTTTTCTCTTTTTCATCTTTTGCACTTTTCTTTTAGTAATGGACTCTGTCTGCTATTACCTGGGACCAATAGAAATCAAGTTATATAAACCCTCGAATAATATTTTATTAATTCATTCATCTTGTGTAGATTGGAAGCTACAAATAAATAAAAATCTCTGGTACACTAAAAAAATCCAGTATCGTCAGATCATATGTTTTCGTACGTCATATGAATTCGTACTATGCATGCTTTTTCGTCACAATGCATTCTAAATAGCACGAAAACCCATAATACGAGGATAATTGTTGTTTACAAATAGAAGTGTCAATTAAGTCCTCAATCAGAGACATATAAATAAATTTAGTATATATGTCTCTGCCTCAATGTATTAGTCCCAGGTATCAATCGACATACAGAAATTACTTTAAGTATATATATATATATAGTATATCAATACTACCTATTTTTATATGAAATCAAATTGAAAATTCGAGTTGAATTAAAAAAAGGTATGTGAGTTGTCAAAAAGCGTAGACAATTAATGTTAGTTGTACGTTGCATAACATAAAATGTTTGCTTTTCAGATGGTATTTAGTTACTTCTGTTCTCAATACAAAATACTCGTTGCTTTCCCCTACCACAAATGAATGCTAATGATGTTGCTACAAAAAACACTAATAGCAATATTTTTATTACTGTACAGCGTCCCGTTGTGTAAGCATACTTAAAATACTCTATTACATTTTTGTTTGCTAATCGCACAAATTGCACTACGTTTCCTGCGACTGTTGAATTTCAGAGAGAAAATAGTCAAAATAATATTAAATTATTTTTGTTTTGCTGACCTCCTGTGATTTCAATGACATAGATAACCTGATGTTACTTATATAATCTATACAAATCTAAATCAAAAAGTACCCTCTGCAGACAGATGATTATCAGGACTAGTAATATGAGGCAGGCATTACCTGTGAAAGGGGACGAAGTCTATATAAATTATTTTTTTTAATTCAAACATATTTAAACTTCAAAATCTGTTCAAAAAAGAAACGGAAATACCCTTACGTTTCCGATTTCGGTTCAGTTGTTCGGAATTTTAGTTGTGACGTTATTTATGTTATGACGTCATATTCAATGTATACAAAGAAACGCCATCAGGTAACGTTTTTTTCATATCAAGCCATTCAAGGAATTATTAAAAATGGAATTGGTATTGCGTTCCTTCCTATATTTTACTAGACTGATAAATATAATCAAGGACTCATGCAAACGAGACCGGAAAAAGGAAGTAGATTTCTGCTCAAATGCGGGAAAATAAAAAAGTCTGAAAATAAAAAAGTTAACGATTTTGAGTTCATTAGTAGAATGAAAATTTCGGGAAATTTCCCCAATTTTTTTTTTTTTTTTTTTTTTTTTTATTGATTTTTCTACCATAATAGGGGACTTCGTCCCCTTATGAAATGGGTGTTAAAAGATCTACTGTTGAGATCTGTCAATACACCTTATCGCTATTTAGTCCAATACGGAAAAAACAGTCATTTAGACAACTTCCTGGTTGGCTCAACAGGCCTTGAATAGGTAAACAACAAAGGTCATCAGTAACGAGCTGAGGGAGGGAAAAATTTAGAAAGCGATCAATACGAAACTTTGATAGATTATGATCCACTTTTTCGAAATTTACAGTAAAAAAATATTTTGTTTGAAGTATTTACGATGTTTTAAACAGATCTCATTAAAAAGTATCATGCATGGTGCATTGTTTAAACAGGGCCCCAGATAGCTTCAACTGGATATAAAAGTTGTGTAATTTTAGAACTTATCCTGAATGGAATAAATAGCGATTAGGTGTATCAATCTGCCCGTCCAGTAATCTGCCTTCCAAAAATCCATTATTTGTCTCAATATTGTTTTGTGACGTAAATTAATGTCTGGTTTGACCTATATCTGAAAGATAAATATTGGGTATTCACTAAATTACCCCCATAAGCCAATCAATCTATACAGTACTAGATCAAGAAAAAATCTTCCGATTTTTATATGGATTCTCACAAATTATGCTTAAAAATCTTCCTTTTTAGAAAAGGCTTATTTAAATATGATAGTATTTCTTTGGTTATGACAGTGAGTAATGAATCTCTGCTCTTTTATACAAACAGAAATTTATTACAAACCAGATTTACCACTTTTATATGTTTTAAATTTATCCATTCATGATCATTCTTGAAATTAATCCATATTTTAAGAATTGTTGATTCACAATGAATTTGGATATTTTCAAACATATCAAATAGATGAGCATAATCATATATCAGTGCTGTAAAGTTAAATAAAGAAAACAAAAGAGTGTGACTTTCATTATCTTAATATCTACAATGTACCAGTTTATGGTTCATCTTATTGAAGGTAATCCCTTCCGAGTTCAGAGGGATTTTTTATTTGACCACCTGAAGAACACTTTAACAAGTCCCATAAATTCTATTCAGGAAAATATTTGCCAACTTAACACACCTGAAACAGGAGCATTTAATGCTTACATCACCATTCTGCACATCTGAACATGCTGAAGTAGGTTGAAATTGAAAAGAAGACCCATTTTCCTTTCAAACTTCTATTAAATTAAGGAAATACCAAGTACCTTTAACTGTAGTTTACATGTAGTTATAGCTTCAGATGAATGGAGCCCTCTGCATAATATGCACCTGTTTTTTTGGTGTGAAAGTTGGTAGTAATTTTCCCCAATAGAGTTATTAGGCATAGGGCTTCATAAGGTTTTATTTGGGCAGCCAAATCAGGATTAATCATATGGTACTGTGAAATATGGCTGTGTTTACATCTCAAAATTTTTCTGAGTACAGGAACAAGTGCAAAAGTTGAGTGTTTAGGCAAGGCTGGACCTAGATATATAAAGTTAATTGCATTTTTTTTTAATAAAAACAGATTAAATAATTATATTTACAGCATAGGGTATTGCACAAACGCAAAAAAACAGGGTAAAATTTATTTTTTTGGGGGGGGAGTCAATTCGCATAGTGTATTGCACAAATGCAAAAAATCGAATATAAATTCAAATCATATAACCAATTTGAAGTTCTTTCACTGCAGTTATTCTGTGTCAGAAACCTATTATGTGTCAAAAATTTAATTACAAGCCAAATTCAGACCTGTATCAAGCGTGAATATTGTGTCCATTTGGCCCCAACTTTTCAGGGTTGGACATCTGCGGTCGTATCCAGCTGTGCTCAGCGAAGCAATTTACTTAAATATACAAGGCAGTTTGAAATTTTGGGCACTTGCAAGATGCTTCTCAGTTCAGCATGGCTCTGTAGAAGAAAATTATGGAACAGAATCATGGTAAAGAGGCTAAAGTAACCGCTGGTGATATTTTTAGATTTTGTAGCTCTATGATTAAGGAATCTTGTTACTGTAAACATTATATACATTGTAGATCTGAAAGCACCTCCTCATCTAACTTTGACTGTAATGTCTCATGAATTTGTGTTTTTTTTTATTGCAAAATAAAGTAAGGTACTGAATAACAGGTTTTAAATTTTGATTTTAGGTTTTTCGTTATCATCCATTTTGTATGAAACTGGATATTTACAAGAATATTCGTCATTTAGAAATGTCTTGCCATACATGTTCTCTGTGCCACAAGATGCCAAGAATGCCAGAATAACATTCCGTTCAAGTCATGTTCCAGATAGTTGTGATACCAGAAAAGTACAGATGTAAGTATAAAATATATGAACTGTTAAAATCCCAATATCATAAAAAAGCATGAAAACTTACATGTACAATGTAAGACAGACATATTATGTACATGAATATTCATTAAGCATAGTGTGAAGCATATCACACATTTGATAATATACAAAACATTTTACCATTGGTGAGTGAAAACTAACTATGATATGATTTTTTTTCCTGTTAATGAAGAAATGTATGAGAGGTGAGACAAATGTATTTATTTTCACTCAAGATGCTAAAGATTTGTATTGAGGAGATCATGATGAGACATTGTCATCTGAACTTCACCTCAATTTCATACTCAAGTGGTCAGATAAATTTTAATGATGAGGTCGTTTTCTCAGTAATTACATGATAGGTCTACAAGATTTTAATTTTTTGGCATATGGATTGATTTAAAGGAGTTTATACATGTCTGACTCGGACATGTTATGTCATATGGCCTTTCCATCAATCTAACCCTCTGTTGGCCAAGGTCTGTTCCACACTAATTACAATATTATTCAAAATCATTTTATTTGTAGATTGGTTGTGAGAAATATATGTGTTTCTGACATTTGTTATATGACCTTGACCTAAATATCCGGCTCAAATGGTCTTTTTAAGTGTTAAGGATAAGGTCCGTCCCTCAAAAACTATACATGATTTGTCAACAATATTTAGTACATGGTTGTAAGGAGTATTTTTCCATCTGTTATAATAATGTCATATGGCCTTGGCCTTCATTTCAGGTTCACATACATTATTAGGTAAATTTTCAGGGTGAATTCTGTTCCTCAGTAACTTAACATTGTATTGTTTGGTTGAGACAAGGATATACTGGTATGTTATTTGGTCTTGATTCCAATTTTATGCTGTAATGTTTACATATAATCAGTGATTATGTTTAGTTTTCAGAAAGATGTCTAAACCTCAGTAACAATGCATGGGAGGTCAACAATATTTGGTATAAATTTGGATTGGTTGGAAGAAGGAAATTTCTCTCTGACTATGTCATATGGCCTTGATCTCATTTCCAGTGGGGATTTAATTTTGTGGATTAAGTGTGTATCTCCTGATCTATTATACATGATAGTATATATTGTGAAGGAAATAAAAGTTGTAAAATGCATATTTGTAATAGTTAGCCACATTCAAGTACAAAATAACAACTACATAATCATGATAATAGAATGACATTACAATATGAGATCCTTAACAATCCCTATCAACATCAACACAAAGTCATGTTAAAGTTCGTGTGTTTCTCAACAGATAGGTTGAAAATATTGTGCATGTGACTAAATTACATGTAGGTATATGAAAATATGCACCATGCACAGTGCTCCAGCTAGAAATTGAAAGGGGCAGGGTGCCAGTGGAGGGCAGGGCACTTTTTTATGATAGGAAAAGGCACTGCTCATTTTTTTTGTCTACGTTTCTGTGTGTATCACGAGTTCACATTGTTTTTTTACTGTATATGTTGACAATAAAGATAATAAGTTGTTGTTTTGATTATTTATTCTATAAAATTTGCATAAGAAAAGTCATTCATACTACATGTTCATAATACATGGCAATACATGTTCATACATCACATCACTATTAACCAAAAGAGTCAAAATAACTAACTATACCCCCCTCCAAAAAAAACACAGCATAAACTAAACATCTCATATTTTAGAGTTGTCTCATTTAAAATTTTCAGCTAGAGTTTGGCCCTCTCAACTTTTTTCATTGTTCCTGTCAATGAATTATTTAGTATAACTTCATCCAATTAACTTGTTATGATAGTTTAGCTAGTCCTAACTCGTTTTTTGTAGTATTAAAGCTTAACAACTTTCACCAGCTATATATAATTATATTCTAAATTGACAATGTCTAGATAGAACATGGATTGATAAAAGTATGATTATCAAAAATGAATTGCAATATATTTTTTTTGGTATGTTCAAAGACAGTGTTGATCTTTAAGGTAACATTCTTATATAATTTTGTATTTGATTGGTACTTTATTCCTATTTTCAAAGATAGATAATATTTTAGGAGCACAAATTTGTAATAAGCTAAAACAGGGGAAGTAACTCCAAAATTAATTTCCAGCACGTTTACGATGAAGTTGAGATGGACGGCGTTTCTGTGAAGGCCTAGTTGTATTTTGATGACTTAAATTCTATACTTAAGTCATGAAAGTCTTCATTTTTACACTCTTCCATTGGGACTTGGAGATCGAAAATGCCGACCCAAGCTTAAAACACTCGCCGACACATTCATCAATTTATATTCAATTTGACAAGGTACATTCGTCTTAATTAAATTACCTAGTTATTAACACCTTTGAAGTCTAATCAACTGTAATTGATTTTAATGACATGATTAACCTGGGGGCAATCACCAGGTGTCATATATGTAATTTAACTTTGTGATTAGAAATCGATGAGACAAAAAGCAATTTTACCAGTACATTGCCAAAACGGCACAAGGTTTTTTTTGGGAAAAGGCGTCAGGGCAGAAGGGCGTGGATGAGGGCACACAGGGCGCGGCTGAGGGCACCCTGAGGGCGCAGCGCCCTTCTATTTTGGGCTAACGAGACCACTGATGCAGATACCAAATTCCCCCCATCCCTCCCAACCTGATTTTTCAGTTTTCAAATAATTCAGACAAATTTTGTAAAAGAACAACCACCACTAAACTTAATGCTTAAAGAGTGAGATGGTATATGGCGAATTTTTATTTTTCTTTGCAGACAGTTACAGTATGGTAGTCTTCCATTAGGTAAAAATGAAACATTTCCTGTTGGCTATTACCTGGATAGAGGTGATGTACAGGAGGTCAATATTCAGAGTGATAATAAGACAACACAAGTAGATCTGACACACCCACTTCCTGGTGACTGGTTTGCTATTGCTTATATTCCTGACAAAGATACTAAACTGAGACCAAAGGTAATGTTCAAACACTGTTTTGAGATATTAAGCAAAACCCATCATTTTTTATATGAATATATAAGCCATTTAATAAAGGGAGACTATAACAAGTACATTGAGATTGCAAGCCAACAACAGGTTAAGCCTAGGGAATGACATTAATCCAGGGTAATAGAAAAAAGTCAATGTACTGGTAAATACAGGAAAACATTGTTAAGATCAACTACTGGAAAAATGGACAATGCTTGTCACAATAATAACTTGGTGCAGACACTCTTCAGTAATTTGATGGGCTTATATAAGGTGCAGACACTCTTCAGTAATTTGATGGGCTTATATAAGGTGCAGACACTCTTCAGTAATTTGATGGGCTTATATAAGGTGCAGACACTCTTCAGTAATTTGATGGGCTTATATAAGGTGCAGACACTCTTCAGTAATTTGATGGGCTAAATAAAGTTCAATGGTGCCAAACCTGCCACTTCTATCACAGTCTTTAAAGGTTCTATCAAATGCAAGTTTTGAGACAGAACAAAACATAGTGTACACACAAAGTATCAGGAAACATAAATGAACATGTTGTCAAATTATAATGTCAAAAATATACACACATGAATGTGCAAAAGCACATATGATTAATTGTTGACTTTACCAACAACTTTTATTTTTTAGAATAAGTGAGCAAAGTTGATAATCTTATGAAACAGAAAATAGTACTAATGTCTGATTTAAAAAAAAAATACAAGGAGACTTAAGTAAAATGATGATTAACTTTACTTTCTTTTTAATGAGCTATTGTTTGTTTTAGTCTTTTAATTAGAGAGTTTATGTTTAGAGTGTCTTGGGTTTTTTTTGTTGAGAAATTTATTTGGATATGAAAAATGTTGACATGATGATTTCTTTTTTTCAGGGTTTATTCCCAAGTTGTTATTACAAATTGAATGTAGAATTGACATCAACAGTTCTAAGCAACATAGACAGTATTCATTTATACCATAACTATCAAGCTAGAATCTCTAAACCAGTCATATATAGGTAGGGTACTCTTCCTATACCATAACTATCAAGCTAGAATCTCTAAACCAGTCATATATATAGGTAGGGTACTCTTCCTATACCATAACTATCAAGCTAGAATCTCTAAACCAGTCATATATAGGTAGGGTACTCTTCCTATTCCATAACTATCAAGCTAGAATCTCTAAACCAGTCATATATAGGTAGGGTACTCTTCCTATACCATAACTATCAAGCTAGAATCTCTAAACCAGTCATATATAGGTAGGGTACTCTTCCTATACCATAACTATCAAGCTAGAATCTCTAAACCAGTCATATATAGGTAGGATACTCTTCCTATACCATAACTATCAAGCTAGAATCTCTAAATTGTAACTTATGCAGAGTATAAGTGTTGTTTATTCAGACGGGATGGTTTCTTCCATGAGATGGGGCAGTTGATTTCATTATAAGGTCAAAGGTCATGCCTAATTTGGTCTGTCTGATATCAGGGATTAACAATGAGCCAAGTAGATTATTCACAATTGATTGATTGATTGTTGGTGTTTAAAGGCAATTTCAGCACTCTTGGCTATATTGGAGAAGGAAGCTGGACTTACTTTGTTAGGAAAACTGGCAATCTTAGTAAGTTAAGATAGGAGTTAGGCACACCTGCCATGCACTGGTTAGAACTCACAACCTCAATGTTGATAGGATATATAGTGGTAACTGTAGATGAACTACTTTTTTCTCTTGATAAAATATTATTCCAATATGTACAATAAGAATTCACCAGACAGTACCTGATGTCACAAACGAACAGTTACATAAAGTCAATTAAAATAATGTCAAATGTTTTTATAGCATTCAACAAAAGTTTAAATATGATAATTCTATTCCATATCAACTAGTATAGTTTAGAATTTATACAATATTTCTGCATGGTTATCTGTTACTTTAATAACAGGATTATCTGATATTAAATATTTTTCTTATAATAAATGTTCTTTTCTCAGATTTAAAAGATAAAAAAGTAAGAGATTTAGTTGTCTAACAATGTTTTAAAATATTCTACTAGATTGAGTTTAGCTTGAGTATCCAACAATACTAAATTTCTTCTTTGTAGGTACATGTACTAAAGGCCCCAGTAGATTATTCATAATTGTTGTTATAAAGCTATTTTTTTATAAGTAGATTATTCCAGCACCTTTAGATGAGATTGTACTTTTAAAATAACTCTGTTTTACTTCTTGGGGGAAATTTGCATATGTAATTATCTGGCTAAGTTACCCCTGAACTTTTTATTAGAATTTGTGGACTTTTTAAAAAAGGATACATGTATCTGATATCAAAAATTCTGTTTATTTCTTTATAAACATAACTGGAAAATTGAAAAAAAAATTACATGGAAAATGTGACATATTTCAAAATCACTCTTGTCTGCTGATTTACCTAAAAACCAAAAACTAACACATGGTAGAGAAGAAAATTTTAAATCATTGGTATACAGAAAAGTATACCATATGGAGTATTTTTCACAAAATGTGCGAAAGTGTTAGGTACACACTTTTGAAGTTTAAAAATGCAAATAAGGCGTTTGGTTAAAGGCATTACAGTATGTCCATAATATGACTTTTCTGAATAAGAATTTATTAAAATTTATATGGATGGCTGAATGGTTGCATTGCAACTTTCTTAAGTTTAATTATAGGTTACAACAAGAGACATTTAATAGCAAAAAAGTTAAAATGTTTGAACAACAAGTATAACCCTTCGAAAACTTATTTGAGCACAAATGCCAAAGAAGTAGGTTTACAAAGGGTAATAATTGGCTCTGATATTTTGATGCTTTTCTATTCAGGCCAAAATACTAAAAATTTCACATAGAAATATTTGTTATATTACTATTGATACAAAATAACTTCATTTTAGCACATCACATTAAAAATGACAAAGTGATGACCCCTTAATTATGCATTATTTATGTTGAAACGTTAGTTTTGGTCAAATTTTCAATAATTCTTAACAGTTTTTGTCTCGCCTTGACGGAGTCAAAAAGCGAGACATAGGTATGCTGTTTCCCGGCATCGGCGGCGGCATCAACAATGTATTAGTTTGTGATTAGTTTTATTTAGTTTATTGTGAACCACTAGTGGTAGGTCAATGATATTTGGTATGCAGTTGAATTAATATTGGCACATCTCATTACCATGGAGATTATTTGGCCTGCCCCCTTTAGTCATGGTCTATTGACTTTGAAACTTTGCTTAGTTTTCATGTATTAGTTTGTGATTAGGTCAGTTCACGGGGAACCACTAGTGGTAGGTCATTGGTATTTGGTATGCAGTTGTATAAGCATTGGCATATCTCATTTCCATGGAGATCATTTGGCCCCGTCCCTTCAGTCATGGTCTATTGACTTTGAAAATTTTGCTTAGTTTTCATGTATTAGTTTGTGATTAGATTAGTGTATGGGGAACCACTAGAGATAGGTCAATGATATTTGGTATGCAGTTGTATAAACAGTGGCATATCTCATTTCCATGGAGATTATTTGGCCCCGCCCCTTCAATCATGGTCTATTGACTTTGAAACTTTTGCTTAGTTTACAAGTTAATGTTTGTGTTTAGGTTTCTTGAAAGGGAATGACTTATGAAAAGTCAATGGTATTTGGTATGCAGTTGTATTTGCATTGGCACATCTCATTTCCATGGAGATTGTTTAGCCCTGTACCTTTAGTCCTGGTTCATTGACTTTGGATATTTGCATAACTTACATGTTAAAGTATTGTTATTTTAATTTCAACATTTGCATTATCAAAATAACAAATAGGCGAGACATATCTTTGTGTTAACAGTTTATTAACATAATTAGCTTCTGCTGTCACCCCTGATCCAGAATTTTTTTGTATCTAGGGATTCAATATCATCATTGACAGGGGGCCTCGGTGGCCGAGTGGTCTAAGTAGTTACTACTGTAATCACTAGCCAGTCAACACTGAGGTTGTGAGTTCGAACCCTGCTCGTGCGGGTGCACTCGACTCCAATCTTAATTGACTAGGATTGTCAGTTTTCCTATCGAAGGTCAGTGGTTTTCTCCGGGCACTCCGGCTTCCTCCACCAATAAAACCTGGCCGCCACGAAATAGCCCAAAAGAGGTGCTTAAAAGTGGCGTTAAAACACCAAAAATCAAAAATCAAATCATCATTGACATCTTTTGGTTACAAAACATTTTGGATAGTATGTTGTGACCAAGGGTTTCCTCAAGCTTTTAGGTCTGAAAAATGCATAAAATCATCATCTTTTGAAAATATATCCTAAATTTGCTGACTTTGAAGCCTAGAGTGTACTCTTATGGAGAGCTTTGATTTATTGTCGAGCCTTCGACTTTTGTCGAAAAAGCGAGACATAGCGATCCTACATTCCGTCGGCGTCGTCGTCGTCGTCGTCGGCGGCGGCGTCCACAAATATTCACTCTGTGGTTAAAGTTTTTTAAATTTTAATAACTTTCTTAAACTATCCTGGATTTCTACCAAACTTGGACAGAAGCTTGTTTATGATCATAAGATAGTATCCAGAATTAAATTTTGTAAAAAAAAAAATCCAGTTTTTCCGTATTTTACTTATAAATGGACTTAGTTTTTCTGCCAGGAAACATTACATTCACTCTGTGGTTAAAGTTTTTAAAATTTTAATAACTTTCTTAAACTATCCTGGATTTCTACCAAACATGGACAGAAGCTTGTTTATGATCATAAGATAGTATCCAGAATTAAATTTTGTAAAACAAAAAATCCTGTTTTTCCGTATTTTACTTATAAATGGACTTAGTTTTTCTGCCAGTTAACATGACATTCACTCTGTGGTTAAAGTTTTTTAAATCTTAATAACTTTCTTAAACTATCCTGGATTTCTACCAAACTTGGACAGAAGCTTGTTTATGATCATAAGATAGTATTCAGAAGTAAATTTGTAAAAAACAAATTTTCATTTTTTCCGTATTTAACTTTTAAATGGACTTAGTTTTTCTGCCAGTTAACATGACATTCACTCTGTGGTTAAAGTTTTTTAAATCTTAATAACTTTCTTAAACTATCCTGGATTTCTACCAAACTTGGACAGAAGCTTGTTTATGATCATAAGATAGTATCCAGAAGTAAATTTGGAAAAAACAAAATTCCATTTTTTCCGTATTTAACTTATAAATGGACTTAGTTTTTCTGCCAGTTAACATTACATTCACTCTGTGGTTAAAGTTTTTAAAATTTTCATAACTTTCTTAAACTATCCTGGATTTGTACCAAACTTGGTTAGAAGCTTGTTTATGATCAAAAGCTAGTATCTTGAAGGAAATTTTTAAAAATTTTGTACCTGTTTATCAGTATTTTTCTTATAAATGGACTTAGTTTTTCTTCCAGTTAACATTACATACAGTCTGCAGTTAAAGATTTAAAACATTTATTAGATTCATAAACTATCCTGGATTTTTACCAAATTGGGACAGAAGCTTCTTACAATCAAAAGATTGTATCGAAAGTAATATTGTTATTATTTTTTTTCCTCATTTTTGTTGAGCCTGCGATTAACAGCAAAAGTAGGCGAGACACTGGGTTCCGCGGAACCCTTACGAATTTTTTAGTAGTAAGGCTTTTGAAATAGACCCATATGTCAACTAAATTATGGCCATTTTGACATGTTATTATAAAGTTGAAATTCAACTCCAAACAGTAATGTCAGTTACCTGACAAGTATAAGGATTTAAATTGATTACGGTACAAAAAAGTTTTTCAATAGATCAAAAAGTGTCAAATGTTCTGTTAAAATGTGAAAAACATAATTCTGTATTTACTTACAGTCCATTATAAGACTGAAAATAATGTTCTATAAAATTGATACACAATGAGACTTTTTGCATTTCAGGTTTAACATTTTAGAAACGACTTCAGCGTACCATGTACTGGTGTCTGGATGTACAAATGTTACAGGTAGTCCGGTTAGCTGTTTAGTAGATCTGATTACAAGAGGTCAAGGGGTACCAGATTTACATCACTATGACAACAAATATATTTGTAATGATACAGATCAATGTATTATCACTGTTCCCGTATTATACCAATATGGCCACCAATATGTCATGTTTACGTCCTCGGCAGATATCACTTTTACATTTAATATATCAACCTCTAGTAAGTATTTGAATATATATTAATGTTCATATCATATTCACCACTATTACATATTTGTATTTGATTATCCATCTATAGCTATCCACATACAGAACATATTTGCTTTTATTATATCCACCTATAGGTATCCACCAACATAACATATTTACATTGAATATATCCACCTACAGGTATCCACCTACAGAACATATTTACATTGAATATATCCACCTATATATAGGTATCCACCAACAGAACATATTTACATTGAATATATTCACCTATAGGTATTCAGCAACAGAACATATTTACATTGAATATATCCACCTACAGGTATCCACCAAGAGAACATATTTACATTGAATATATTCACCTACAGGTATCCACGAACAGAACATATTTACATTGAATATATCCACCTACATGCATCCACCAACAGAACATATTTACATTGAATATATTCACCTACAGGTATCCACCAACAGAACATATTTACATTGAATATATTCACCTACAGGTATCCATCAAACAGAACATATTTACATTGAATATATCCACCTACATGCATCCACCAACAGAACATATTTACATTGAATATATTCACCTACAGGTATCCACCAACAGAACATATTTACATTGAATATATCCACCTACAGGTATCCACCAAGAGAACATATTTACATTGAATATATTCACCTACAGGTATCCACGAACAGAACATATTTACATTGAATATATCCACCTACATGCATCCACTAACAGAACATATTTACATTGAATATATCCACCTACAGGTATCCACCAACAGAACATATTTACATTGAATATATCCACCTACAGGTATCCACCAACAGAACATATTTACATTGAATATATTCACCTACAGGTATCCACAAACAGAACATATTTACATTGAATATATCCACCTACATGCATCCACCAAGAGAACATATTTACATTGAATATATTCACCTACAGGTATCCACCAACAGAACATATTTACATTGAATATATTCACCTACAGGTATCCACCAACAGAACATATTTACATTGAATATATCCACCTACAGGTATCCACCAACAGAACATATTTACATTGAATATATCCACTTACAGGTATCCACCAACAGAACATATTTACATTGAATATATTCATCTACAGGTATCCACCAACAGAACATATTTACATTGAATATATTCACCTACAGGTATCCACCAACAGAACATATTTACATTGAATATATCCACCTACAGAACATATTTGCTTTTGGTATATGTATATCCAAACTAAGTACAAAAGATAAGGTGTGATAAGGGTTTTATTTGTCCTAATTTTTTACTGAAATATTAAATGTATACTTTAAAATTGAAATGAAATATTACTTTAAACAGAGTAGAATATGAAACATTAAGTCACATGTCCAATTTTCTGGATTACTTAAGTCCAATTGAGTATTTGAATATGGATGATTTCTTGACTTGCGTCAGGAAGCCACAATTAAAGAATAAGATTCATTTAATTTACGGTAAATGTTTCTGTCGAATTTCTAATTAATCTGTGGGTATTATAAACAGTTTAAGGCGCAAAGTTTCTTTCAGCTGTACTTCCAAATATATACAAAGACAGAAACTTTTTTAGTCCAATTGAAACGTAATAATCATATGATATACCGGTAGTTAATATTTTAAAACTTTGAAAACGATTATTTGTTACTTTTTACAATAAAACTAATGTATGACTTTCCCTGTCAGCAGCAAAACTCAAACTGAAAACTACATAGCATCTTGGGGAAACCTGAGAAGGGTCTGTATCACTGCATGCCTCATGACCAAATAAGGAGTGCTCATGCAGCCTCGGGCATGTCAGTACCAATCATGTGCTACACACATGCATCCTATGATGTGTCTTGAATAAACAGCACTTATATACATAATATAAGCTCTTATCAAATGCTGTTATGACATCAAAATTCCTGCATTTTTTTCTTCATTTTTTTGTAGAAAAACCAAATTTATGCTAGCTTTCTACAGTTCAATTTCTGTAAATGTTCATGAAAGACCTCACAGTTTTAACCTCTCCTATACCTATCAATTGTTTTTACCCAAAAACAATCACATGATTTTGTTATACATGTACTTCAATTTTTTAGCATGCCTCCTCTTTTTACATTTAATAATTCCATCATTAGTAAGTATTTATATTTAATACATCCATCTCTATAAAGCATAAAAATTTTAGTACGTTTACTTCAGCTTAATATAACAACCTCTAGTACATTATTTCAATAGTATATCTACACTAGTACATATTAACATTAGAATAATACAACATGTAGTACATATGGTGTCATCCTGGTTTGCCCACTTTTAATTACATGCATATGTAAACATAGGGTGGATTGTTGTTTTAACAATTATAGTTTATTTCTGAATTATAGTCATATTTTTTACCTTTTATTTTACCTGTAAAATTTTATCAAATACTATATTCTGCTATTAAATCAATGAAATTTTTCAATATAGTTTTTATCAGGAAAATGTATTGAATTTGACAATAAATTCTAACAATTAGAATAAAAATGCAACCGTGTTCAGTAGCCAAGCTTTACAAATGAAATAATTTTAACAGTAATCTGCATCCAAGCTAGCATTTTCTTCTTTAAAAAAAAACCCAACAGATTGTTATTTTACCATAGTGCTCTATTTATTTCCTTATGCAATGCATTTATAAACTTGATTCATATATTAGGTGACGACCATTTGATATTGTAAGGGGGGGGAGGATTTTGAAAATAAATAACTCAGCCTTGATAATAATAAAAAAAATAATGGTTTGTCCTGTAGTAGTTTGAAAATAAATAAATTGACTTTTAATGTATTGAAAATAAATAACTCAAGGCAGGTCTTTTAAGCCATTTTATATATGCTATTTAGTATGAGATGGCACCAGATTCTTCCAAAATTCGTCTTTTTTTCTTTTTTTTTTAGGGAAAAACTTCCCAAATCTTTAAATAATATAATGTATAAATATTAATTTACTTGAATTAAATGTCCGACCGAAAATGGGTTTCATTTCACTAAGGTATATGGTCTCAGGAACATTTACTTTATTCTCTTAGTGTTGCTTTCCATTTGTAATTTAGTAAAAAAAAATTTAACTTGACTGTTATTTTTTTTAAGTATTTTTTATCTAAAAAATAAAAATAGCAGCCACATCCATAAAACTATATGTAAACTACATGTTTTTGCTTTATCCTACATATTGGTCTTTTGATGTTGTCTCTAAAGACTAAAAGTCTTACACTTAAACTATATATTTTTCCTTGAGACCAAAATATTGTCAAAAAATAATTAAAACAGAACTTGCATTTTTGATCAAAAAAGGTTCTGGGAAATGCGCAGAATGCATGATTTTGCATACATTTTTCTATAGCTTCTTCGGGCCTTCAGCGGCCCCAAAACCCTGCGAACGAAATTTGTTTAGTTTTAAATATACTTTATATTACTTTTAAAACAGGCTAGTGTCATTGTTTTACGTGTATGTTAAATTATTGAGAGAAAAAATATATGATTTATTTATAATTTATCTATACATTTATGAAAATGGAATTACAAAAAAAATGAATACCTGAATATATATAGAAAACACTGATAAACTATATACCTAAGTTGAAACAGACTATATAATTGTATGCTCATTAAACCTTTTGTCTTTTTTGTTTTCTTTACTAATAAATAATTGGTGTAATTAAAAGTGGGCAAACCAGGAGTAAACCGTTTTCCCCCTATTCCCACATGAAAATTTAACTTTTCTTACCAGATTTAAAAAAAGTGGGAATAGGAGGAATGAACCAAACCAGTACTTATTTATATTTAATATATCCACTTTTAGTGAAGTATTAAAATTTAATATATCCACCTCTGTGAAGCATTTACATGTGATAAATTTAAATACAAATTAACATTTAATATACACATGAAAGTCAGTATGTTTTTAAACTTTTGTTCTTTAAGAAAGTAATTCACAAGACAAATCTCAAGTTTGTAAAATTTTAAATGTGATTCTATTTACAGAATGTGACTTATAAGATCTTATTTCAATTTAATATACAAATGGTACATGTATTTGCTTTTGTTTGCAGAATGTGAATCTCAAGATCTGACCTCTGGTATGTTAAATGATTCATGTATTATGTACCCTCTGATGGATAGACAGGAGTACCAGACAGTCTTTAAAACAAAGTACATGTACATAAGAAATGGTACAATAGTAGACAAGCCTTATATTTTGTCAGAGAATTCAACATTAATTGTTCCATATGAAATCAAAAGTGGAATTGATAATGGTGGATCTGTTGTCTTAAAAGTCATTGTTTTAGCCGACCCAAAGGTTAGTTAGCCAAGAAATGCAGGTCAACTAGAGTTTGTAAAAATTAGTATTTTCATATTTAAAAAGTCAGCAAATATTTCATATTTGTTATTTATATATAACATTTAACAGTTCGACAGTATGGAATAAGTAATCTCGTCAGGATACAAAAAAAAATTGGAAATTATACCAATTACTTGACATTATTTCTGTATTAGGGTAAGAACAATTAATTTACAGTATCCATAGTCCTTAAATTTAGATTCTGAAATTGCAGATTGACTCCACTACCTCCGGCACTTGAGAGGAGCACTCAACCACAAGATGACTGATGCAGTTCTGTTAAACTGGTTTATGCTTAATTATGCATAATTTGATTAAGTTGTATGACTTTTTAGGTTACTTCATTCAAAGGGCTAGTGTGAGCTCTTGCCATCATTTGGGGTCCAGCTGTGACAAAATGTAAATGAAATAGTCAATGTTCCTCATTGGTTGGAAATCAGCCAACACTCAACTTTGGAGCTTGTTGAAAACTTGATTTACTGTTAGCCGATTCAAAGCTCAACATTTTTTAATTTATAGGTAAAAGACACAGATGTTAAAATCTTGGTTAGAACATGTCTTCATAGGACAATGCCAGAAAGATCAGTGAACAGTGAATGTCCACCTAGTGCAGCCCAGCTGTCAGTTAACACCAGCACATCTCTTGTGTTACAAGATAGCGTGATTGTTCCATACCCTAAAGCAGGCACATGGTTTACAACCCTTTCTATGTCATGTTTTATTTCTGACACTAATACAAGGTTTGTGATACATAAACTAGAAACTCCAATGAGTCTAAATCACTCACCTGGCAGTTGTATATGTATTTATTTTCAAAATCAAGACACAAGATTATTGGTAGAAATCTAAACTAAAAATCAGATTAAAAAAGGATGGTATACATTTGTAAATCATGAAAGAAACTATTTGAATATAATACCCAAAACATACATGAGTTGAACAGTTTTCTTGCAAAAAATAAAAGAGGTGGGAGATACAAAAGGGACATTAAAAATCAATAAGTTGAGATAAACTGACAAAGCCATGTCAGAAAAACAAAAAAATACAGTGAAAAGACAAACAAGTTCACAAAACACTACATCGAAAATGAAAAACTGAGCAACAGGAGCTCCACAAAAAACTGCAGGTGATCTCTTGTGCTCTGGAAGGGTAAGTAGTTCCTGCTCCACTAGTAACACCCATCATGTTACTCATGGTAACTGGTCACTCAGTTCAAATTTAATCAAGAGTTAATTAAAAAAAATTCTAGGCAATAAATTCTATAGGACTGGTGATAAAGGCTGATTCTATCCCTTTATGTAAGATTTACAATCGAAGCATTTTTGTTCATCATCTGACCTTTTTATATAGCTTTTGTTAAAACAAAAATAGAGTTGACCTGTTGCTAGAAAATTGGTTATTATAGGAACAGTTTTGTTTCATGTAATTAATTTGTTGTAAAATTTAATTTTTAGTGTTATTACTGTGTCTTGTGGAAACATAACAGTGAATGTATCATTAGACATACAATCAGATAGATGTGTAGAAGGCAGATGTAACGACAAAGGGAATTGTGCTGTTTACTTACAAGGGAGATTACTGGTGTCAACCTGTGTTTGTCATGGAGGTATGTAAAAATGTAGAGTTGTTTAGAAAGGTTATAAAATGATTCTTAGCTGATTTTGCTGAATTTTTCATTATCTGCAGAGTTAACATTTGGGAAAGATATGTGACAGAATTTTGTATTACATTATCTGCATGGACAACATAAAATGATCTTGTTTTGTGTATAGATATTGGTAAGAAAATATTGAAGATATTTGCTTCTGATATTTTCAACTTTTCCTTTATATTTTGTTACACCTCTAGCCTTTTCCTTGACTATGCTTTAAAAGTGTTTTCCCAGCAATGCATGTACTTTTTTAACTTTTAAACTTACATCTCTTGTAAAATCTTTTTAAATTTGTGTAATTTTCAATATTTTTTTTAATACTCTTTTATCACTTATTTCTTCTCATATGAAGTACCAGAGACATCTATTTCCCTGCCAAAAATTCTACTTTCTCAAAGGCTTTTATCTCAAAAACATGCATATGGACCTATCTTATATTTTCTCATAATGTTGATGTGTTATGCATATTCTATTGAAAAGTAAATACTTAATGATGATGTTGTTATTTTTAACATACCACTGAATATCTTATATGAAAACTGATGTTACTTCACAAATTAAAAAGTAGAAGTGTAGTTACAGTGCTTTTTTAAATGCCTTATTAATCAGTTAATATGAAAAAAATCTTAATAATGCATAATTTTACATAGGTGTTGAGCAATATAAGTCTTTGTTGCCTGCAGATGCTAAATAATGATCTTTTCTTTCTGATTCTTTATGAAAAAACATAATGATATTTGAACAAACTTGATTTTTGTAGTGTTTCAAAAACAATAAACAGCTGCGCCATGAGCGCATGATATGCCCGTCGTCTTGTGTGTGAATTTTTATGCAATAAGCATAAATAGTTTCTGACATACGGCGTGACATGCGAATACCCCCTTTTTTTTTTACAAAAAACTCAATATCTCTAAAATAAAATTTTGAATCAAAACCAAAAAGTATACAGATCTTTAGATTAATATAACTAAGAAGTGTGTAAAATTTTAAGCAATAATCATAAATCGTTTTTGAGATACGGCGCGACATGTGAAAACCCCCCCTTTAAAAAAAAAAAAATCAATATCTCAAAAATAAAATTTTGAATCAAAACCAAAAAGTATACAGATCTTAAGATCAATATAACTAAAAAGTGTGTAAAATTTTAAGCAATAATCATAAATCGTTTTTGAGATACGACGCGACATGTGAAAAACCCCTCCCCCTTTTTTAACAAAATACTCAATATCTCTAAAATAAGATTTTGAATCATCCCCAAAAAGTATACAGATCTTAAGATTAATATAACTAAGAAGTGTGTAAAGTTTTAAGCAATAATCATAAATTGTTTTTGACATGTGAAAAAAAACACACACCTGTTTTAGTTACTAAGTCCCGTAAAGTTTTAATCTTATTTTCACCAAAAAGTATACAGATCGTTTTACTATCATAAGAAACAACTAAGTTTCATGAAATTTGGATATGTCATTCTCAAGTTAAGGTGCGACATGTTTACGCCGGACAGACAGACGGACAGACGGACAGACAGACGGACGGACGGACACCGGACATTTGTATACCATAATATGTCCCGTCAAAAATTGACGGGCGTATAAAAACTGACAACCATTTAAATCTTAACCAATTGTTATGTTTGATGTTTGTATTGCAGGTTGGTCTGGTTATGCTTGTAATGATGGGTCTGACTTAATACCAGGGCATGAACAGCTAACAGAATTAATACTATTGACTGTCAGCCATGTTATGTTTATACCAGCTGTTATTCTTACCCTTTACAGAACACATTATGTTGAAGCATTTGTCTACTTCTATACAATGTTTTTTTCTGCAGTAAGTATTTGAAACACATTATGTTGAGGCATTTGTCTACTTCTATACAATGTTTTTGTCCCCCGCGTAACACGTTGCAGGGGACATGGAAATACCGGGCGTCCATCCGTCCGTGTGTCTGTCCGTTCGTGTGTCTGTCAGGTCTTGTTAGCGCTCTCACAGGTACAATTCTTGCCAGATTTTTTAAAACTTATACAATAGGTTAATATCAGCAATATCTCGGACAAGTTTTATAATGGTGGACGATTGACTTTTTTTAAAGAGTTATGCCCCTTGGAAATATTAGATTTATGTAAAATGACCTTTTTTGTGCTCTCACGGGTACAATTCTTGCCAGATTTTTATAAAACTTTTACTATAGATTAATATCAGCAATATCTGGGACAAGTTCTATAATGGTGGACGATCGACTTTTTTTAAAAGAGTTTTGCTCCTTGGAAATATTAAATTTATGGAAAATAGCCTCGTTAGTGCTCTCACTGGTACAATTCTTGACAGATTTTTATAAAACTTATACTATAGGTTAATATCAGCAAAATCTCGGACAAGTTGTTTAATGGAGGACGACCGATTTTTTTTAAAAGAGTTATGCCCTTGGAAATATAAAATATGTACAACGCGGGGGACATTGGTTCTTTTATTTTTTCTGCAGTAAGTATTTGAAACACATTTTGTTGAAGTATTTGTCTACTTCTATACAATGTTTTTTCAGCAGCGAGTATCTGAAATTGTTACTTGTAAACAAACATGAAAAATTTAAATGGAGAAATTAGTTGATGTAATTCATGATAGACTTTATAGACCACTTTATTATTCATGGACATTTAATTTGTGATTTATTTTTGAAGGTGTATGATAAAGAGTCATTATATTTCACCTGAAAGTAAAGTTCTTTAATCTTTAAGTCCATAGTTTTCAGCATTTTCAGGTAGATTAGATATGAGCCACATATTTACACAAAGATATATTTTACCCATTTTACATCTTTGTATATGTCATCTTGTAGCAAACATATTTTTGTGTATTGCTGTGGCTGAAATATAAATATAGATGACAAGTTCTCAAAATGAGACTATTTGGCAGTTATTGTAGTTTTGAATTAAATACAAGAAGTTTGTGACCCCAAAGCAATTATTTAAGACACAATTTGAAAATAGAAAGCACCGATATCTTAGACTCAAGTGCCATGAACATCTGAAGGATTATATTTGATAATTTTATAATACTTTTTTTTTATTGTCAAACTCAAGGAGCCAAAAAAGAAGCCTTATTATACCTTCTTCTTTAGGCTACTGTGCCATATGTTCAGTGCTTCACAGAAAAAAAAACATGTATTTAAAATTTACAAACCTTATTGTGGCCTTTATTGTACTAATAATTTTCCGAGTACTAGAGTAATGTTATTTTTATATATTTTAGTTTTACCATGCCTGTGATGGAGGTAGATCAGATGAGTACAAGTATTGTATAATAAATCTTAGTGTGCTCAGTTTCTGTGATTTCCTGGGATCTGTGACATCTATATGGGTTACACTGATAGCCATGACAAAACTACCTCGTACCATTAGGAGTGTGTTATATACAGCAGGACCATTACTTATAGCCATGGGTATAGAGTTAGAAAGGACCAGTTTATACATGTTTGTTGTACCAGGGGCATTAGGAGTACTTTTTATAGCTATGTCTTGGGTATGATCAAGTAAAATTTGGCAGTTTATTTTGTAATTACATATTGACACTTTTACAGTCAACCAAACAACACAAAAAAGACATCTAGAGGTCAATGATGCAGGCATGTGTGAAGAAGTTTTAGAATTTTCAAAAGACACTTGAGTTTGAAATTTTTTGGCATGGAGACATTTTATTTCAATTTGTTAAAAGAAATGAAGTTGAAAGAGGCATTTTTTTCCAGGTTCTGAATATTAGCATCATTTAAAAAAAAAAAAAAACCAACAATTTTAAAAGAACATGTTAAAAGGACATCAGATAAAGTCTGCATTTTGTGTTGAGTTCATGCATTGAAAATGCTGCAAATGCATGCAGGACACAACACTGTCAAATTGAACAAAATTTTATAAAAACATTTACCATCATATGTTAAAGATCTTCTTCATGGATTTAGTACCAAATAAGAAATGTTTTATCCTTATAATTCAAATGAATAAAATTTTTATAATAAACATTTGCATTCATTTCTAAATATCTCTTTTTTTATAGGCAAGAAAATGTTATAAAAGACATAAATGCTACCCACCTTGTAAGCGATATTTGTTATGCTTGTTGCCAGGATTATTGATAGCTGGAGGTGGTCTCTGTATATTTGCATTTGCAGAGAACAACAAAAATTACAAATACACACATAGTGCATGGCATATGTTAATGGCTACCTGTACTATGTTTTTATTACCACCTAAACCCAAGAAACAAGGTAAGATTTGAATAATGTGCATTTTAAGACAAGGTTTTTAACATGTGTGACTGTGGCTTTCAATAGTCAGTGTTTTATTTTGCTTGTTGATTTTCTTGATAAAGCAATAAATCATAAGTTAGCCATACCATCAGTAAGTGATAAAAATCTCATGTTTACATAAATTCCCCCAAAATTCATTCTGCTGATATTTTGATTTTTTAGTCATATCTGTAGAAACGTTTTTTAAGGAAGTATTAACTTGCCAACATAAGTAAAAAAAAACTGAAGTCTTGAATTAGAGAGTTTCAAAAATATTTAGATACACTTAATATTCTTATATGTTGGGAGGCACCATAACCCAAAGACATTTCCTGAATATTACAAATTAATTGTGTTCACTAATATAAAAATAGTTTTTGTCTACAATATCTTGGAAGTTATTTGTGAAAATGTCTGTACTCAACAAATATTATCAAAACCTTGACCTCATTTTCATGGTTCATTGGTCAACTTTAAGTTTTTTTTATTAGATCCATTTCTCAGATGTTATCTGCAATATGTCAAATATAACTTGTTTGTGATAATTTCTGTACTAACAACAAATGTAATCAAAACCTTGACCTCATTTTCATGGTTCATTGGTCAACTTTAACTTTTTGTTGTTAGATAATTTCTCAGATACTATTTGCAATAAGTCAACTATAACTATGTTGGGTGTATGGAATAATTGTAAGGACATTTACATGTCTGTCTGGCAGGGTTTATCTAACCTTGACCTCATTATCATGGTTCATTGGTCAATGCTAAATTTGTTAGATTAAATATGTTTATCAAAACTATAAGTAATAGGTCAGTTAAATAAGGTGAATAGAATGAATTTATGGTGAACATTTCCATCTGAGAGGGGAAATCTGACATTGACTTCATTTTCATTGTTTATTGGCCAATGATAATTTGATTATGATTAGGTCAATTTCTCATATACTATGCATAATAGGTCAACTATATTGGATGTTAAGAATGATTGTTAGTCTTACTTGTCCATCTGACCTTCACCTCATTATCATGGTTCTTTGATCAGCATTAAGTTTTTCTGATTACAGCCATTTCTCAGATACTAGATTGAGTGTAGAGAATGATTGTAAAGACATTTATTTGTCTATCTGTCAGGGTACCTCTGACCTTGGCCTTCTTTTCATGGATCATTGATAATTTTAAGCTTGTGTTATATCTATAGTAAAACCTTGATCTTAAAGACTTTTCAAGATAATTATTATCAGTAAAGAAAGCAAGACATTTTTGTTTCATAACTATGAGGTTTTGCATTTTTTTACTTGTATAGATGTTTACACTTAATTTAATCTGGATAAGAAATAGTAACTTCTCATTAACAATCTAAATAATTGAGACACTTGGTGTCTAACTGTGAATGTGTAAAACTTGAATATACTTACAGGAAAATATGACATCGATGATGAAAACAATGCATTCAAATCTATGGTATACCAGTTATATTCTGTCTGTGTAAATTTGTTGGATTCAGGATTGTAAATCAGAAATCACTTTTAAGCTCACCTGACCCGAAGGGTCAAGTGAGCTTTTCTCATCACTTGGCGTCCGTTGTCCGTCGTCCGTCGTCCGTCGGCGTCGTCGGCGTCGTTGTCGTCGTCCGTCGTCGTTAGCTTTTTACAAAAATCTTCTCCTCTGAAACCACTGGAATAAATTTAACCGAACTCGGCCACAATCATCATTAGGGTATCTAGTTTAAAAAATGTGTCCGATGACCCCGCCAACCAACCAAGATGGCCACCATGGCTAAAAATAGAACATAGGGGTAAAATGTAGATTTTGGCTTATATCTCTGAAACCAAAGCATTTAGAGTAAATCTGACATAGGGTAAAACTGATTATCAGGTCAAGATCTATCTGCCCTGAAATTTTCAGACAAATCTGACAACCTGTTGTTGGGTTGCTGCCCCTGAATTGGTAATTTTAAGGAAATTTTGCAGTTTTTGGTTATTATCTTGAATATTATTATAGATAGAGATAAACTGTAAACAGCAATAATGTTCAGCAAAGTAAGATCTACAAATAAGTTGTCATGATCAAAATTGTCAGTCGACCCCTTTAGGAGTTATTGCCCTTTATAGTCAATTTTTAACAATTTTTCGTAAATTTTTGTAATCTTTTACAAAAATCTTCTTCTCTGAAACTACTGAGACAAATTTAACCATACTTGGCCATAATCATTATTAGGGTATCTAGTTTAAAAAATTTGTCCGATGACCCTGCCTTCCAACCATCATGGCCAACTTAGTTAAAAATAGAACATAGGGGTAAAATGCAGTTTTTGGTTTATATCTCTGAAACTAAAGCATTTAGAGCAAATCTGACAGATGGCAAAATGTTCATCAGATTTAGATTTATCTGCCCTGAAATTTTCGGACAAATCCGACGACTCGTTGTTGGGTTGATGCTCCTGAGTTAGTAATTTTACAAAAATTTTGCAGTTTTTTGTTATTATCTTAGATATCATTATAATATCTAATATCTAATACTATTTATTATGATTTTAACCTTATTTTACATGATTTCCAAAGCATCAGTAAATACAGGTGAGCGACACAGGCTCTTGAGAGCCTCTAGTTTGATTAATTAGCCCAAGAGGCCATTGTGATCCTTGCCACCACTTAAATATCCTTTTTATGTCTTTCACAATTAAAAACAAAGCTTTTCTGAAACAATTGAACTTCTGCCATTATTATAAAAAGTTTTTTTTAAACTAACTGACAAAAATTCTTAATAAAATAATTAGTTGTAATTTTTGCTGAAATGTTTGTAAAATTGTTTCCTTTCAAATTTATGGTGGTAAATGTCCCTTTTTGACTTTCAATATGGCTTCAAATGCTAAACATATTTCATATTCCCAGCACTGTATAATTTAATTGAAAACAACTGGACATACTAAAAGCAGTGTCTGTTAAACTCTCACTATATGCTCTCCCCAAATAGCAGCCATAGGCATTAATATTATTGCTGTAAGTTACAGTCTCAACCTTATTCTATGCACTTACCAAATACAATTTGAAAAAAATGGCAGGATGGCTTAAAATAAATGCAAGACATCAAAATTAGTTCCAAAAAGGGTGCAGGGCATTATAAAAAGAAAGGTTTGCACTAAAGGCTTCTTCAATTAGCTTTACGAAGTATTCTTGTTCAAATTTATTCTTGCATGATTCATTTCAGTAAAATCCTGAATCCAAGATGTTGTAAGCTAGTACAATGTATAGTATATTTTATTCATTGTTGCCTGCATATTATATAAAATGCATAAATACAACTACTTTTGGAATTCTCTATGGAAAGTATAAAGGTGAATACAAAGACATGTTTTTCTTTTCTTATTCTGTTTTATTTCTGCTAGCTGAAAGCTTAGTTTACATTCATACCTGCATACCTTGTATAAAAATATGTGATTGTTATGGTTTCCTTACCAAAATGTCCACTAGTTTATGTAATGTAAATCTACAAATGATACTGACAATTTTACAACCATTTAATACAAAAATGTTTTATCTTCTCTGTTTGGTCATTCTTGTATTATAAAATTTATGGGCAGTGAAATAAAAATACCTCTTTGGGATACTTATTGATAGTTTACGAAATAATGTTGTATGTGTCACAGTCCTTAGTGTCTTGTTTAATTTATCTTAGCAAATTATATCTGCTGAAATAGAGACTAAATCTTTAAATGATGTCAGATATCCTTTCAGCTCAACATAAAGGGCAGTCACTTAGTATAAGGGCAAAGTCCTCAATAACAGTAAGAGAATTAAATGAAAAATCAATATAAAAGTCAGCATACAAGTGAGTCCAAAATATTTAACTATTTTTTTGCAACTGTTGCTCTTGTGCATTACCATGTTACTGTTGAAAGACTCTGACATGATTTCATGCAAATTTATATCTCTATTTACCAAAAAGAGTGATGACATTAATATGAGGACGAATATTTTGATATTTGGAATGTGATAATTTGTAAAATGTAGAAATAATTGATGGTATTAGTAATAAAATTTAAAATTGTTTTACAGCACAGTAGTATTAATTTTGTAAAATCGGTATTTACATGTAGGCATTTAAACGAGTTTTGTCCTCTTTTACAGGTAACACCTGCCTCATATTATTTGCTTTCTTTCTTTTTTTCATAAAAATCTTTCTTTGAATCCAGTGGGCCAATAGTCCCATTTTCAAATTACCATTTGTATTTCCAATTTTTAGATATTTTTTTTGCAACGGGAAACAGCTGTCTGGTTAGACAAAATGGTTTCCTGTCTATAAAAATAAAATGGATCAAGCATGATGTATTGTGACAATGATGATGACTTCACAAGTTCACACATTTATGGTAAAAATGGGATATCTATCTTCTGGTTTTATTTTAATGATACATACCTTCAAAAATTTGGAGGCAGAAATTTGATTGGCTGATATTAAAATTACAGAACAGAAAGTAGAGTGTTTTTAGATCCTTATGATCAAAGCATGGACAGAGGATCTGTATTTTAATCAGATTAACAAAATATGTTAGTTTTTTTTTGTTACCAAATGAAAATTTTTAACAGCAAAACATGTTTTTTCAATTGACAGGAAAAGCAGTTTACCCTTCCAAGGAGTTGTTTCCCTTTGCCAAAATGATATAAAATTGAAAACAGTGTCAGTAATTTGAAACCGACTTATTGGAACCAAATTTCCTCAATGAATGTTTTAGGTTCTGCAAAACTTTATTTGATGATCTCCCTTATCATCAAATGACTCTCAACCTATGATATTTATTTGCATCATGCATCATTTGTTTGAAAATATATAATTTATTATTGGTACAAAACTTTTCTTCTGTTTTATAGTGAGTACATACAGTCAGGGATACAACTTATACACATAATTTTTATATACTTGAAGATGTATGTAATATTTTCTTGTATCAGTAAATTTGTCACATTTAAATTTTCTTTTCAACATTTGAATAAACTCCCCATATGCTTCCCTAAGTACTTTACACAGAATTTTACTGCACAAAAAATATAAATTAAGTGTGCAAGGCCTTTAAAAGTGTCTCTTGGCGGCAATATTTTGAAATTATACTTTCAGACAAATATTAAAGACAGACAATAAAACACTCTATCAAAGCAATATGGTAAAGAAAATTCAAGAAGAATGAAACGCTTTCTTACAAAGGTTTTTTTTTTTAAATTTGAATGTCTAAGAGCAATAACTCTACCTCCAAAATTATTTACCTGTACCTGTAAATAAAATTTTTATGTACAAGAATTTTCCCTGACTGACAAACCCATTTTATATTTTTTCCACATGGTTTACATATTGTTTTGTTCCTGCAATTTTATATTCATGTTTGACTTCATATGTATATCCGAATTCCTTTTATTGTATTTATCGTCATGGAAATCTATATTGCTTGTATTCAGACTCCATAGAGGACACAATTAATTACTCATTAGTAGGAACAGTATACCCGAAAACTAAATTTATATATTATTCAAACATGGTATAAATTATTTGTACAGTCAAATTGTAAACTGTTACGTTAACTGTAGAATAATAAACTATTTTTTTTTTTTTTTTTGGTGGATTGTTTCTATGCTAGAGCCCTTTCTGATGTAGATTAAAGAAAAAAATGTTTCTATGCTAGTACCCTATGAGATGTGGATTAGAGACCCCCATCTTACCAAAAATGATAATGTTTTGACTTTTTTTTTAAATAGAAAATTTGTGAACGAAATGATATGAAATGCTTTCTGATATGAGACTACCGGTACTAAGCATGGTGTAACTTTAGCTAGATACAATCATTTCCATTGTTACTGTACAACCAACTTGTATATGTCAACTGTTGAAATAAATAATATATAGGATCTCATCATAAAATTAATATTGATCATGTTATTTGCAAAAATGAAATTTACAGAGTTTTTAGGACCAAGCCTTTTGTTATAATTCTTTTCAAATGTATATTGCTTATGATATTTGTATAAAATTATACAAAGGCAATAGGTATTTGATATGTGATGCAGACACCTTTTATGATCTCCAAAATAAATTCTGGAGTATGGAGTAATCCCTTTATCTGTCCGTCCTTCCAGGTATTCAGAACAAATGGTTTCAGGATGATAATTTGAGTAACTCCTGCTTGATTAGAACGAAAATTTTACAGATGGAATATATAGGGTAGGGGGAAGAAGCCTAATGATTTTAGGGTCCATAGGTCAAAGAACAAGGTCTCTGTTACTAAAAATAGAAAATGTTTGAAAAATGGTTTCCAGATGGTAAATTGATTTCTCTGGTTTAATTGGAATGAAACTTAAACAGAGGACAAATATAGAGAAGGGATTGAAAATATGTTTTTTTAGTTTGTTTCAGGGTGTTATCCCACTATGAATTGTAATACATTTATGCAGGTGAAAAATTAGCAGTAGTACATGTTTTTTTGTCCTTCCTATTACCCATTTAAAATAAAACTGTTTTATGTCATTTAATGTGCATTTCATGGAGTATACATTGGTAGTGCCAGCTTATCATTTTTTTTTAACAAGTCTAGATCTGTATTTTACTTACAGTAGACATTTTATTTCTTTTACATATAGTCATGTCTTTTGCATGACTTGTGATTATATTTTACAGGATCAAGATTTAACAGAAGCAATATGTTTTTACACATTCTACACTTCAAAATGTTGATTCTAAATTAGGATTTATAGTTTTATATATTATTTATAGAACCTGGTGTTAGTTATGGAATAAGTTGTTCATTTAAACTGAGACTTTGTACAAGAGTTATCTTGAGTTCAAAACCTACCACTGATTAAAAGTTCCAAGTTATTGACCCCTTTTTTTTTTAATTGTAATTTTTATACTAAATATACTAAATTCATAAGCAAATTCACGTTATTTGACATATGAGTAAATGGACCAATATAGATAATACTCATTAGACATGCTTTTAAAATGTTTTATATCAGAAGTGATATCTAAAGGGAGATAACGAAACTTTTTTTTTTCAGAACCACTATTTGGATCAAACGAAGGAGGGAGACAATGTTTGACAGGCTGCTTAGCAGATGATCCAAATTCTACACCTCTGACAAGTTTTAGAGACACTGAATCTCTAGAAAATCTTATTATATGATTATTTTTATTTAACACCTAAAACCATACATGTGTAATCCAATTTGCAGTTTAGTTTGAACTTTAATTAGATCTGTTTAAACAATTATTGTTGCTTATCAATATTGCTCAGATGAAATTACTTGCTTCAATTGACCTGATTTTAGATTTACTTTATTACCAACTGAGCATTTTTGATTTTAACACCAGATGACAGTAAATTCAGAAATTTGTGCATGTATTTATTAGTGCGATTGCTGAACAATTGACAAAAATGCCATATCAATTATTGTGATTTTCAAGAAATTCTGTATACAAATAATGCTTTAAGATTATAGAATGTGAGATTTTATTATTGCAAAACCTATACTGTTGCTATTTTCATAATAATAAATACATTGCAAAAAATTTCTGAATATACAATACTCTTGATGAAATTAAATACCATCTACCACTTGTAGGAATATTGATAAACACTTGTGTGGTATATATGGTACATATCTCTATAATAATAATGCACTTAGTGGTACATGTACTTAAATTCAGGATGGTCTGTATATCAGTAACTGAGTGAATAGTAAATTGTAATTCATCATATCAAACAGCTTGAATATAGTACCTATATATGTGCCAGGGTGCAAACTACTTCAGAATCGTAGGGAGTGACTTCCCTTTTTTGGGGGAAGTGGTGAGATTTAAAGGATAATTGCTCTTTCCCTTTCACCACTATATTGTTTGGTTCTTAAAATGATATATCTTGCCATTTTACTTATCCATTTAATTCTTTTTTGTATTGTTCAATTAAAGTTCAATGAGGAAAACTATTCTGTTCATAAAATATTTTTTTTTTTGTTCTAATATGTATTAATTTAATTAATTTTAAAAACAACTAAAATCAATAAATTGAGACAATGCATGCATAAAAATATATACTTGTAACTAAGGGGCTCAAACAATATAATAGAAAAAACAAATGATATGGGGTATCCATCCATGATACAACATATGTCTATTTTTAATGTGTGCTGAAAGCGTATTTTTCACTTTTTGGCTTGTTATTCTCATGTCAGCTGAAACTTGTTTTTAATGCAACTAATGAATCATACATTAACTAAAGGCAATTTTATCACTTTTTTCAGAAGTAACAAATTCATTTTGCCTAAAATCAGAATCTTTTGATGTTTTAAGCGAGTAACAGGTGCCGGAAGTGAAATAAAATTTTTCAATTTGTTTGCATAAAAAGTTGTTTCTTTGGAAATAACATCTACCTGTCTACAAAGTCAATGCTTTCACGAGTCTGAGTATCCTAGATCTTTTTTTAAGAAGTTGATCTGAATATTCTAGTCCCTTACAGATGATTTATTTTTATAGTTTTTTAATGGAATGCTTTATGTTTATACATTGTGCAATTTTAGATCTGAAATAAATAATGAATCTAGTTTGATTGTAGTTTTATAACTTTGTTTTGTTAGATACCAAGCAGTAATTTAAATTTGAGATTTTATTTTATGGCATTCTATATATACTACACAAATGAATATTTTTAGTCTTGTTTTAAAGTTCAAGTTTGACCAATAAATTATAACATGTTGTAATCTGTAAATCTTTGTCAGTGTATTCCTCATTGTAACATGAGCTGCTTTCAATGTCAAAATCACTGCATATCTCGTCATTAGGTTCTATCTCATCGACATAATTTTCATCTCTTGTGATCCCCATTTATATTTATTGTGTGTGGAGTGATTTCAATTTTTATGGATTTATGAAAAAGCACTCTTAGATTTTTCAATTTTCTTGAAAAACTTTGGTAATTATATAAAACTTTAAGTTTTTCAAGGATATATTCTAGAAAGATAACAAAAGCTACTACATCAAATACACTGGTACCAGATACCAAAATATTTTCTTCTTACAATTTTGATTAATTTCCCATACCTAATTCTAGTAATTTGTGAAAATTACCTAACAAACATATATTTCTGAACAACAGCAGTTTCTTTCATAGAAAATTCAAAAGCTAGAACATGAATATCTGTAATACACTCCTGCACAAAAAAAAAATTCTGAAGTAGCTAGCCAAGCAACTAAATATTTCTATGATCAGAAGAACAAAAATTATAACCTAGAACACATGAATTTCAAAGGATTGGAATTCGTTCATAAATTTTACCAAAACCCTTAAACAAATGTTTGCATGAAAGTTTCTTTCCTGAAAATTTTTACTAATTTTTATAATCAAATGATGGTATTTAAAATCTTTATATAAATATTAAAATATACACATTAAAATATGGTTAAATATTACATTCCAAGTATTTTACATTTCCAGGGGCCATGAAAATTTCAAGAGCCACTCATGTGTTGAACACATCTTTTGAAATACATTTTGCATTAGTAATTTAAATATTCACATAAATTATATGAAGTCCATAAACTAAAGTAATCTTAAGATTTCTTGCTATTTTTTTCCATGTCTTTTATATTTTAAAAGACTAAATACCTAGATTTTTGTGGGAGTTACCATATTTCATGGATGTAGATAGTTGAGGAATGTTATAGTTGCACATTTTATGCATTAATACTAATAATTATGTTTTTGATTACTTTTAATTGGAAATCTGAATAAATAATCTTTTGAAAGGTAGTGTTTTAATGTCCATACTTCATTGCAAATGGGGACATAATAATAGTTGGCATTGGTTTATAAACTTTGAGAATGCAATTACTCCTATGGCTCTCATATTAGAATGTTTGGTCATATGTTGTTGTTTTTCTATCTGAATATCCCAATACAATGCAATTTTTACAGTATTCATGACTAGATCTATCATACTTTTTTGGAATAAAGACATAATAACAAAGAACAAATCTCATAAGTTTTTTTTCATTTTTGGTAGAATGGTGTTTTATTACTAGATAAAATAATAATATTATCATACTAATTCAAGCCACATTCAACTTCTCACTTTATATACCTCAATTCATAAAAATTTCTGTGATCACATCTGTGCTGAGGTCTTTTTGTCAATTTCAATAACTTTTGCAGAAGCATAACCTGAAAAAATCAGTCCCTCACTGCAATCAATCTCTCTTTCTTGCAAGGGCCTGAATTCCTAACACACTAAAAACTCTTCACGAATCCTGGATTTTGATTGTTTCCCTGTGGAAGAGGTAACCAATCAGCAGTTTGCCCTATTTTTGTTGAGACTGATAAATCCTGAATGATTGATTGAGGATTTTTTATTGTCAATGCATTCAGGCGTTAATGTAGCCATTGTAGCACAGCGAAATTTAACAACTGAATTATTCTGGTTAGCAGAAGCTAAGGCCCTTTTAAATACATTAATCTAGCATATAGATAATACTTTTCATTCAACTCGTTAGCTCATGCATATTTGTAAAGAAGTTTGTTGTATGGTGATATGTTATAAGCTGTTTTGTCTTCCCCTTTGTATTAGATAATTTTTCAGGAGTCATATGTAATTTTAAATATGCATTGGAAAGAGGATGCCACTTTTCATATTTTTTCAAACATCTCACTGTAAAATGTACTTTTAAAACATTGTTAATTGTTGTTATTTATTGTTGACATAATTGTTGTGTATGATATTTAATATATTGCACTATTCATGTAATAATAAACCATTAAACAGATACATTGTTTCATAGATTGTATATTTATATTGGACAAAAATCCCATCAAAAGCAGCATACATTTTAAAAGGAATTTTAAGGTATTTTTAAAAATTTTAAGTTCCTGAATTAAGGATGTTTGCTACTCATGTTTTTGTCTAGCCTGCGACTTTTGTCGCAGAAAGCTCGACATAGGGATAGTGATCCGGCGGCAGCGTTAGATAACTTCTTAAAAGCTTTATATTTTAGAAGGTAGAAGATCTGGATGCTTCATACTTTGTATATGGATGCCTCATGTTACGAAGTTTCCGTCAGTCACATGTCCATGTCCTTGACCTCATTTTCATGGTTCAGTGACTACTTGAAAAAAAAGTTAAGATTTTTTGTAATGTTAAATTCTCTCTTATTATAAGTAATAGGATAACTATATTTGGTTTGTGCGTACCTTGCAAGGTCCTCATGCCCGTCAGACAGTTTTCACTTGACCTTGACCTCATTTCGTGGATCAGTGAACAAGGTTAAGTTTTGGTGGTCAAGTCCATATCTCGGATACTATAAGCAAAAGGTCTAGTATATTCGGTGTATGGAAGGACTGTAAGGTGTACATGTCCAACTGGCAGGTGTCATCTGACCTTGGCCTCATTTTCATGGTTCAGTGGTTATAGTTAAGTTTTTGTGTTTTGGTCTGTTTTTCTTATACTGTATGCAATAGGTCTACTATATTTGGTGTATGGAATGATTGTAAGGTGTACATGTCCAACTGGCAGGTGTCATCTGACCTTGACCTCATTTTCATGGTTCAGTGGTTATAGTTAAGTTTTTGTGTTTTGGTCTGTTTTTCTTATACTGTATGCAATAGGTCTACTATATTTGGTGTATGGAATGATTGTAAGGTGTACATGTCTAGCTGGCAGGTGTCATCTGACCTTGACCTCATTTTCATGGTTCAGTGGTCAAAGTTAAGTTTTCGAGTTTTGGTCTTTTTTTCTAATACTATATATGCAATAGTTCAACTATATTTGGTGTATGGAAATATTTTATGATCTATATGTCAGTCACGCAGGTTTTATTTGACCTTGACCTCATTTTCAAGGTTCATTGCTCAGTGTTAAGTTTTTGTGTTTTGGTCTGTTTTTCTTAAACTATAAGCAATAGGTCAACTATATTTGTTGTATGGAAGATTTGTTAGCTGTACATGCCTGCCTTGCATGGTTTATCTGACCTTGACCTCATTTTCATGGTTCATTGGTCAATGTTTAGTTTACTTGGTTAATGTTAAGTTTATGTGGCAGTTGTAATAAAGCTTTATATTAAGGACTATCAACATAATATCAATGATTAGTAAAGAAGGTGAGACATTTCAGCGTGTGCACTCTTGTTTACTTTTTGTCAGATATTCAGAATCCTCTAGTTTTATCCATGTAATGCCAATAAAAATTTTGCCCGATAACCCCTACTTTTCTCTTCATTATTTTATTGCATATAGTTTAAAAAGCCATATTTGAAAATCTTATAAAATCCTTGTTATTTTTTCATTGTTTTTGAAAGAAAAAAGGTGCCAATGTTAAATGTATGAAAAATCTAGAGAGAATCATTTCCCGCCAAATTTTCAATGGCTAATATCTCGAAAACAAGCACACGTACCCTTTATTTTTTTCTGCTTTTTAAATTCCTTCATTTATATACTATCAATTTATAACAGTCTATTTTGGAACAGAGTAGAGAACATCCTTTATGATGAAAATTGAATTGCAAATCTTTGATGGTTTCTTGTAAATTTCTAGACTCAGGATAATTTAGAGCTTGACATATTGTATAGACACCTGTCAATGCATGTCTATTGTTGAAGACTGTATGCTGTCCTCTAGATGTCGTTTGATAATTTTTGTTGTTTGGTTGCTGTCACATAGGTATATACCTCACATCTTCTTTTAGGCATTTTGTTTGCAGGGTATAATGAAAGTCAGTAATATTACATTAGTTTAAATATATATAATTCTGTGAAATTCTTTATTTTCCTGGGTAACAACTTTTTAGGATTGGTGAAAATCCTGATTTTTTTGTGTGGATAAATTCATGGTTTCAACAAATTCTGCCAATGGGCAATTTGTATTTTTTTAACACTCAAATTCATAGTTCACCTCATCATGATCCCAAGAAAACCATAAAAATTCACATTCCAAAAATAACAATGAATTTACATTATTTAATGAAAGAAATATAGAAACAAGACTTCATGTTGCTGTGCTAAGAATATGCCCCACTTGTAATTCAAAGTATCAGCAAACAGGAAGTTGGTGTCTGATAGAACTGAAAATTGCTCACACATTACAAATCATCACTGTTAAGCTGCAGGCCAAATATGATGTTGTTCTCTACAGAAGTACATGTACTGGAGATGTGTGTGTCAAAACAATTCATTCAAAATATTAAAAACTTCAAAGTATAGGTAAAAAGGAAGGTGTCCGACAGATCTGAAAAGTGCTCAGACCCTACAATTGAATTCACTGTCAAGCTGTTTTAAGATATGAGCTGCGTTGGATAGAAATCATCCTTAGGCAATGCACGTATACATGTACATTTATAAGACTTTGATTGATTTTGGAAGTTGGTCTGTTTTGTAGGGTTCTTATATCAAATCAATTTTCAAACAGTTACAGACTTGGCAAAGAGATTTTTCAACCCAAAATAAGTTAAAAGATGTATTGATATTCATTTGCATACAGGCTATTTCTATCTGATGCAGCTCATATTATCATTCTGTTCCGTAGTAGCTGAGAAATTTGTGGTGGAAATTTTGTAACTCTTAGAGTTGGGGGGGATAATAATAATAGAATGACATTTTATAATTTAGTGATAATCACAATGACATATGTACAACTGGATGATATAACATGTATAACTCTTTCAAATGTCTTAGCTCTTCTCTTCCTTTTGATTCTTCTGTCTAACAGCTGGAAAAAAAATAAAATTTACCTCATTAACAAACATTTTTTTTACAAAAAGTCAGAAAACCTATAGATACAATAATATATGCAAATAAAATAAAATGCTTCGCTGAACGCAGCCTGATACGACAGCAGAGGTCGAACCCTGAACAGTTGGGGCAAATTTGGACACAATATTCAAGCTTGATACTGTCTGAATTTGGATTGTGATCAAATTTTTGAAACAATATAGGTTTATGACGCAAAATAAATGTGGTCAAAGATCTTATAAATCCATTGCGCAATACTGTGCAATTGAAGATTTCTTCTTGAAACTTTTCAAAAATTCGAAATTTTAAAAATTTTGAAAAAAAAATATGAATCCCTTAAAAAATTGGGAAAAAATCCCCCCCCCACACCCAACTTTTTGAAATCCCCCTTGGAGCATTAACCCCAAAACTCAATCCCAACCTTTTCTTTGTAGTATGGAACCTTGTAGTACAATTTCAGAAAGATCCATACACCTACACACAAGTTATTGTCTGGAAACTAGAAAAATGCTTGTTTTTGGCCCTTTTTTGGCCCCTAATTCCTACATGTTTGGGGCAATTAACCCCAAACTCAATCCCAGCCTTCCCTTTGTTATATGGAACATTGTGGTACAATATCAGAGAGATCCATACACTTACACACAAGTTATTGTCTGGAAACAAGAAAAATGCTTGTTTTTGGCCCCTTTTTGGCCCTTAATTCCTAAAGTATTGGCCCCCATAACCCCTAAAATGAATTCCAACTTCTACTTGTGGTATTAAACATTGTGGTACAATTTCAGAGTAATCGAAATACTTATACACAAGTTATTATCCTGAAACTAGAAAAATGCTTGTTTTGGGCCCCTTTTTGGCCCTTAATTCCTAAACGGTTAGGATCATCATCCCCAAAATCAATCCCAACCTTCCTTTTGTGGTATTGAACCTTCTTAAAAAATTTCATAGAGATCCATTCACTTAAACTAAAGTTATTGTCTGGAAACCAATGTGTCTTCGGACGACGACGACGACATCATACCAATATACGATCCCAAAAAAATGTTTGCGGTTGAAATACTTATACACAAGTTATTATCCTGAAACTAGAAAAATACTTGTTTTGAGCCCCTTTTTGGCCCCTAATTCCAAAAGGGTTGGGACCATCATCCCCAAAATCAATCCCAACCTTCCTTTTGTGGTATTGAACCTTCTTAAAAAATCCATTCACTTAAACTAAAGTTATTATCCGGAAACCAATGTGTCTTCGGACGACGACGCAGACAACGACATCATACTATTATAGGATCCCAAAAAAATGTTTGCGGTCGTATAAAAACCAATTGAACTAGAATTAGCAACTAAAAAGTTACCACACCAAATATCGGATTAATATCCAATCCCATTCATAAGGACAGTCATATACTTTTTGTTTTCACTTATACCAACCCATGTTAAATTTTATATTGCTGATTTAATCTCAGTATCACAAAGTTGAACATGTTTTGAAAATTAGATAATAATCACTAGTGTTTACTCATTTTGAAAGTAGTAAATATTATGTAAAATGCTCCGCTGGGGCGCAGCTTGATACGACCGCAGAGGTCGAACCCTGAACAGTTGGGGCAAGTATGGACACAACATTCAAGCTTGATTCAGCACTGAATTTGGATTGTAATTAAATATTTGACACAGCATAGGTTTCTGACACAGAATGAAAGGTGTTCTAAGAACTTAAAAATTTTAATTTACCTATTCAAACCATATCACTATTATTTGCTTTTATATATAAATCAGAAATAACCAATTTAAAATGGGAAATTTTAAAGAAAAAAAATGAAAAAAAAATCCACCCACCAAATTTTTTGAACCCCCTTATGATTCATCACCCCCAAACTCAATCCCAGCCTTCCCTTTGTGGTATGGTACCTTGCAGTACAATTTCAGAGATCCATACACTTGAACACAAGTTATTGTCTGGAAACTAGAAAAATGCTTGTTTTTTGGCCCCTTTTTGGCCCCAAATTCCTAAAGGTTTAGGGCAAATACCCCAAACTCAAACCCAGCT